CTTTAAACAACATTAAGATACAGTAGACTGAGATTTAGAACTAAGCCTAGATTCAATATCTCTAACACATGCTAGTAGATTAATGAAGCGGCTACTTTTGCTGCACTTTGGAAAGTCAAAATAAACTATCCTTATTGTTTGAACGCAAAGGGATGCGGAAAGCTCTTATTGAAGTCAAAATGCTATTTTTTTAGTTTCAGAATCACGATTTGAAACCAAACTACATTTTTTAGGAAGAATAAGAGGAACTGGCTGTTTATGAGGGGTCAATGCAAAGAAAAACAAAACGTCAGACTGTGGAGCTAACGCAAATAGGATGAGGCATCACCATGAGCCGTCTGTGCTGCATCCTCTGCTGACCCACTTTGAATCCTGTTCAGCCACACTGATGTCAAATGGCACTAGGGCAAGAAGGCATCACGCCATGGTGGTTTGCAAACCTCCTCCCTGGAGCAAATCTGTGTGTCCAGCAAAGATTTCTATTTTGAATGCAGGAGCAGCAGAGTGGAAATGGTGTGAGTGGAGCTCATTGCATGCATGCATGTGTGTAAGGTGGTGTGTTTGTCTGTGTGTCTGATGGATCGAGCTGGGTGAAATTAAAAGTTTACACCACAGTGTGATTTCATATAAAGCTGTGTGTATGTGTGTGTTTATCCTCCCTACATTTCTTGATAAATTGCTCTCTCTCCTGGAAATCCACTCAGCCTAAATTACTCCGCTCCCCACTGAGTCGTCCACAGCCTGCATCACCGTCAGCCTGACTCTGCTAATAAATGAACACCATGGTGGTTTAGGCCTTCCTCTGCCGTGTTTACTCTCTTAACCAAATAAAAAAAAGCAGCAATATTTCGTGTTTAAATGTACCACTTATCGGCAGCTAGTCATTTAAGGAGATGCTGCAATGCACAGAGGACCGTTCTGAAGATGGTGAACACGTTTCTATGCCGGATCAAAAGCAGATCTCCCATTTAGCAACGAGAAGATTGAAAAACCAGACAATTTTGTTCAACTTTCACTTTTTATACTACATTTCTTAAATAACCTTTTTTAGGATCTTCTAATATATTAAGCATACTCAATACTTAAAGTGATAGGGAAATCACATTTAAATGTCAAATCATTCTGGCTTAAACATTTATAAAAATGTACTCTTTATCAGATGATATTGTCCCAAAGGTTAGAAAATTTCTATTTACAAAAAAAATCCTGTCTCAAAATCTGTGGGGGGTTTTTCGTTTTTTTAGGCCCGAGCAGCAAAGCGCTGCGAAGGCCTATTGTATTTCGAAAGTTTCTTTTTATTATTATTATTATTATTATTATTACGATTCTTTTCTCACTTCGAACGCATTTTACGGGGACTTCGCATATTCAAAAACTCAGGAAAACGTGGCAGTAAATTGT